CCCTTGTTTGGTACATGTTCTCACATGCTATTTTGTGTGCTTGTTTGTGTGTTGAATTATACAATGCACTACTTTGTTAGGTTTCATTTGCAGTACATGAACTTGTTTCACTAGCTCCACAATATTAAACTAAATATTATGACCACAAATAATAAAAACAATAACACAATGAAATGGCCAATAATAGGGCATATTAAACAACACATTACTAATAGAAGTACATGCCGACAAACTAAATTACGCAGTACATGGCCTAAGTACGTCTATACTTCAAGTGCATTACATGACAACACAATGCAAAGTCCAAGACTAAACAACATTGTTCATGAATAAATCATAGAACTAGCAAGTCATGCAGACTACTGAGTGCAATGAGGCCACTTTCCCTTTCTCAGGGCATCATGATTCTCCTCCATTGCTACTTGCGCTCTGCGCGCACGCTCAAGCTTCTTGTCCCTCTCATCCCTATACACAGCAACACGTCTCCTTTCCTCCTCTTCCTTGTGCTTCTTTTCTGCAGCCTCCTCTCTACGTCTCTTCTCCATTATCTTCTTGTCCTCTGCCTCCCACCGTAATAATTTCTGCATCATGTAAGTACGTCTAGCCCTTTAGTGGGTTTTGATGAATTGAATGACAACACCATTAAAGGTCTAACAAGTTTGCTAAGTATTGAACAGAAAATTGAGTTTATTGCATACACTTGTGGACTGTGGAATGAGAAGTGTTTATAGGTTAACAAGAAGGCAAACTTGATGATATTCCACATAATGTTTAAATCAAGGCTAAAATTATGTATTGTTGTGTTGGAAGATCAAAGAAACAATATAGTTCAAGAGAAAGACAACAATGCAAATGGAGTTGACGAAATGGCTTCTATGTTGAGGAATATCATAGTATCATGAGAAAGCAAGCATATTTGACAAATATTAAAAGAGACATGAGTTGATGATTTTAGATTGGTCTCAATAATGACTTGCTTTGCATGAACAAGAAGCTAAGATCTAGGTGGTCATTTAACATCAGACGACTAAAACAAAGTGATGACGTGGAACACTAAGGTGCAAGATACAATTTAGTGGGTTTTGCTTTATAAGAGATATAGAATTTAGAATATAGATAGATTACATAATTAGTCGAATGATATTTGTTTGGTATTATAAATATTAATAATTTATATATTATATATGATTAAATTTGAGACTAGTATTTTTTTTTGAAATACGAGATGAGTATTTATTTTGAGATGAATTGACCTTTGAAGTTAGGCCGCTGGCTGAAATCCAAGAGTCCCTTTTTCGCTTGAACTTATCAGCCGTACCGTTTCAGCGAAATAACAGTATTTTTCTCTCATAACAAATCAGCATCAGCATCAGTCGTTTTTTCAGCCAGCCGAATAGGGCCAAGGTATAGTAAAGTATAAAACGTTGCCTCCCAAAAGAAATCATAATTAATTTTCATGCAAAACTGCTTTAAACCCAAAAGCTAGGGCGTCATAGCCCGTCCGCCGTACATAACAACCTGAGCTCGTCCAATGATGATATGTGGAACCGATGGCCATGCAGCCCGCGTCACAACGGCCAGGCACGAAGCCAGCATTTTCGGCCAACAACGAGCACAGGCCGGCCGGTGGCGAGCGGGCCCTGGGCTGGCCTAGCCCGGAGTAGTAGGCCACGCCTAGGCCTTACCCCAGGCACGATGTGCTAGCCCGGCACGGCCCGACCTACAACGGCAGGCCCGATAGCTGCCCGACCAAAACCCCCCCACACCCCACGCCCTAACGGCTCCCCGCATCCCCCCTTATATATATATACCGCAGTCGCGGCGCCTTCTCCCTCACCCCTCAAAACCTAAATCATTTCCCTCCCCTCCCTTCCCACCTGCCATGCCGCTCTCTGATCCGAGTGGTCTCCTCTCTCGTCTTGGTCGCTCGGCTCTCCTCTAGTGGCGTTCGTCCCCGACTCCGGTGACCTCGATTCGCATGCCGCTGGCCGCCGCTCCCCCATCTCACCCTGAGTGTCTTGTCCGCGTTCGTCCCTCCTCCACCGCTCGCCGCCCTTGCTAATCTGTGCGTCGTTGTGATTCCTCTGGGTGGCCCTCGTCTTCTTTGGCACTAGGCTCCGGTTGCGCAGGTATGAACCCTGACCCTCCAAAACCTATCATTCTATCTTGACCTGTCTCTCATGTGTTCTATTCCTCCTCCATCTCTTTGCGCAGGTCAATGTGTCGTCCTCCAGCTGTGGCATAGAACGCGCAGGGCGGCAACACAAACAAAAAGCCTGTTCCCATTAGAATTCAATCGCAAGCACAAGGCCAGCCAGCCAGCCTTTCGCCGCGGCCAACTCCTCGTGACATCGCCTGGACGGCCCCGATCCAGCAGCAGGTCCCTTGTTGGACGGCAGATCTAGCCCCCTTGCGCTCTCCGCACACCCACCGTTTTCCTTTTCCGCCCCACGGCAGCACCCTTCACGCACGATCGCGCCTCGCCTTCCATTTCTTGCCATCCCAGTCCCAGCTCTCGTCGGAACGGCGGCCGCCAGAAAACCCCAACCCCCGCGGCGCAAAACTCTAGTAGAGGCGGCGCGGGACACTGCTTGGGTTTCGGGTGATGGAAGAGGAAGGCGGCGCCAGTGGCAACGAGGAGGTGGTGCAGCTAGAGGACGCGGTGGAGCTGCTGGTGGAGCACCTCGTGGCGCCGATGCTGCCGCGCGGCCAGGTCGACCGGGAGGAGGCCCTGTCGCATGAGACCCAGGAGGCCGTGGCGCGTCAGGTGAGGAAGCTTGTGCTTGACCACGTACACAGGACGACAGACGACTAGAGTTCATCATCTTGTAATTTTATTACACAATCACTAAATCGGAAATTATATATCTAGAAATGGTTACATGAAGCGTGGGTCTTTTTCAGTTTCTGAATTTACTTTGTTTCCTTTCATTCATGGGCGATGAAGCTTTGATGACACCAACATGGAGCGCCTGCGGTCCATGATGGTGATGAACACCCCTGAAGATGAAATGTTCAACTTCGATCCCAAGACCATCGACTGGGACGATTATTTTTACAAAATTCACATACCCGGTGTTCTCAAGTACGTCTGCAAGTGAAGAGACTTGTGCTGTTGCTTCTTTACCTTGTTCTGGGGAAAACTCTGTTCTGTATCAGACACACCTTGCTTCTTCACCTAATCACCTTGTTCATATATTTGTGGGGGGAAACTTTGTTTTATCTCTACTGGCTGTAATCAATCACAAAGCCATGTCATCAGTTGACAAAACTTGTTAAATGTATTGGTCAACTCAAGCACCATATATGAAATGTTAATAAAAATGTGTGCTTTGTGTTGGCCGGCAGCAACCTATCTGAATTCTGAACTAGTAATCTCTGCCTGTAGAGTACAATGAAAAGGAACTGTAATCCTTGCTGCCTAAGGTATCGATCAAATTTAGAAGCAAAACTGATCAGAAATAACTATGTGATGCCGACGACTGTTCCGCCCAACTTGTTGTTTACCTGGTTGGCACCTTTGTAAGCAAGACTGCAAATGGCAGCTCCAAGATCACATATATATGTTCAACTTTGATCCAAAGGCCATTTGATTAGGACGATAGTTTTTCGCAGAATTCATATTATTCATACCATCCTCAATTGTCAAAGGATCAGCGAATCCGCGATCCACCCTCCTTGCGCACTGCAGGTACACAAAGAGGATCTGGGATGATATTCGATCATGGACTAATGGAAGTTCTCCAAGCACAGAGCAGTGGCATAATTTTGCTTCAGTGTCTCAGTGGTGGCGCATGGTGGGTTCTGAAGTTGGGCTGCCAGTGAAGACGCTGAGGTCGCTGCTGCTGCTTGTTTCCTAGGAGATATGGTAAGTGCAAAATGCAAGAATTTTAAGAGGAAGTTCACATGTACTCTTTGGAAAAATAAAAGATGAAGCAAGACTTTGGTACACTTCAGGCGCCTTTTGTCAAGCTTGTGCTTTGAGGGGGTCACCTTGGCTAAGTTCTTTTATTTTCTCTTAAATTGTGTGTACTTTGTTTTGAAGAAAAAAAACACCCTTCTATATTAGTACAGGCAGTGCAGACTGAAAGACCGCATCTGAAGTAATGAAAAAAAACTGTATACTAATGGTAATTGCAAAAGATGTTAATATGTTATCTGTTGACTGGATTGTTAGATGTATTAGTGAAAGACCACATCTGAAGTAATGAAGAAAATATATATATGTGATTGTGTTATCTGGTAGCCTAGCTGAATATCTGAATTATGTAACTTTTGTGATCTGTTGCCAGTTACAATCAAAGCGATCTGTAATATCTATGTGCATTGACAATGAAAATGAGAAGGATAACTGATCAGAAAGTAGTGTCACGCAGAAGAATGTTGTATCCAAATTATCATATGCCTTGTTGGCAATTTGCTATATATGATTAACTTCCAAGAAACACTGTTGCCAATTCAGATTTAGAACAGTATGTAGTAAGGAGTATGGGTCAAAGTCAAGCGTATCGTTTTCTTCGCCTGAAAACATGGGAGGAGAGGCACATTAAAACAAGACAAGATTATGATCTTTGAGAAAAATATGCAGTAAGGAGTATGGGAAACTTCATTGATTCCAAATGTATTGATACAAAATGTGTGAGACATGCTGTCGTATGCCAGAATTTACTTCATGGTATTTGAGACTGCTGCATAACCTTTCACAATGAAGCTTCCTATGTTTCTCAGGACACAGTTTGACTGTCAGATTTGAAGGACGAAATGGCATAACCAACCTATCCACTCTTGTGATATTGATATTTTAATCACATGTACGGAGGTTGATCTGAATCATTAAGACCTCAACTCAAACAATCAAGGTGACCCCCTTACTATTGGAGGAATAGGAAGCTTCCTAGGTCCGGGAACTAATTACAATGCAGCTGGGAGAGAGGCTCTGTACTTGTCAAATTTTCTTGGACATCAGAGAGCGCTGATGTCATTAAATGGTTGTAATTTGCTCATGGTGCCATGAGCAGCTTCTTTACAAAGCTGATAACATTTGGCACATCAACCGTCCATGCAACTGAAATTGGTTTATACCCTGACCATGGGTTCTCTGAATTCCACCTGCATCATAGTAAAAACAAGCAGAAACAAGTGTGAAATTTGCTGAAACATATAGATCCTGTGGGGTAACTTTTGCCTTGGTTTGCTTACTCCAAGAGTTATAAAGTAATTTGGTGAGATTTAGATCATATCAATGTGTATGTAAGAATGTTGAAACTAACCAACATCAGATGGGTCAATCTTTTATGAGTTACTCAGAAAAGAGCATACTTTTTCAATCCCTGATCCATCAAAGTGTGGCCAGTGCAAATGCCCTGGGTCTCCACCCTCACCACACCCTTCTTGAATGTGAAGTACTCAGGATGAAGTACAGCAGTGAAGCTCACAGGATCATGAAGGAAAATTCCTGAACAGATTGCGATTTTCTGTCAAAAGTGTGTTTCTTCTCCTATTTGATGGTAATTGGCAAAAGCATGCAACAGTAGTATATATATTTTCAAATACCATGGAAGCCATCAGACTTGACATGCCAATCCCTGTAGAACTTGCACATCTCAGATAACAACGGTGCATGCTTCCCTTTCGAGTTTCTTAGCTCCAAGAGATCCTCATCTAAAACAACGAATATCACATGGTGAATATAGTTAACCCCGGAACTTGAACTCTACACAACAGACTATCAATGAACCAACCTGTGAAGCAGACTTGTGTTGTTATGTTAATGCCAACCACAATGATATCTGCTCCTGAAGTAAAAACTATGTCAGCTGCTTCTGGGTCTCCATAGATCTGCAGAGTAATGCACAGGTTTAATGCTTATGTTAAAGTATTAGCCTCCACAAGTATAATGCAGTATTTTAACATACATTTGCTTCAGCAGCAGGGTTGACTCTTCCAGCAGCAAAGAAAGCTCCACCCAGTACAACTATTTTCTTCACCTTGCTTGCAAAAGAAGGGTCTCTTTTGATGGCCTAAGCAAGAACAGAGAAACTGAGTCATAACATATAGCACAGAATATACAGAACAATAAATAGGTTTAATCCTATGATCCTGAACATACCAATGCTACATTTGTCAGGGGTCCCAAAGCAAGCACAGAGACCTCTCCTGGAAACTCAGAGACCTTATTAACCAGGAAATCAGCAGCACTTTCCTCAACCTTCTTAGCAGAGGGTGCAGGAAGAAACAGATTCCCAATGCCATCTGACCCATGAACGAAATCAGCAATACGGGGCTTTCCTCCCTAATGAACACAAAGCATCGATTATTCAGTTCATCCAGACAAATGCAGTGCTATGTGGATTCAAACTGTACTATAGATAAAATTACTTTGCAAGTAACATAGTATTATTACAAGTTAAATGTGATTCTCTTGCTACATCTATTAACTAACAATTATCAACAAGCAAACAATGTAAGTAATATTATAAAAGATACAGTGCGAAACACCATGCTGTACCATAAAAGAAAAGGTAGTGTACCATGTGTTTCCATCCAAGACATTGGAAAGACAACTTTGTCATATTATATTGGTATAAACTTTCACTTAGCGGAACTTTTGATGGATGGAGATCAAGTCAGAAATTTCAGTCATTGCAAATTGGTAATATGAAATGCAAACTAAGGAAAAGAGTAGCAAGTTTCTTGCAGTGTCATGAAAACAACACAAGATAATATCATGAGCTAACAACCTTTAGGGGCTCGTGGCTTCCCTCTGCTACAGGAACTTCAGGGTGTCCTGCTCTCTCACACTGCCCATGTAAGACTTAACATTATTAGCGAATCCAAGAAAATAAATAAATAAAGCTCAACCATCTCAAATGCTTACCAGCAATAGCGCATTACGTGTTGCGCCCTCTGTGTCGACGTTGCCGAATATGGTCGTGAGCCCAATGATTTCCAGACTAGGTGCTCTGAACGCCATTAGGATCGTCATGCTATCATCTAGAAATAGGATTGCGAAGACAACAGACAGTAAATTTGCAGTCTAGTCCTTACATCTTGAAATGCCTTGTAGGAAAATGACTTACAATTAAGAATTCAGATATTACAAATGGGTACCAAATGATACCCTTACATTGTACCACAATACTAATCTTAACATCCTTATATTAAATTTTACAGTTATAGCCTTTTGGCTTTTAATGTTATATATTGTAGCATTTGCAAATAATGTATACTCTAGGCCTGTCTGTCATTTGATCCTCATAGCAGGTCAATAAGTTCAGATTACTTGGGAGTTTTCAAAGACCTAAGAATATTTATTTGCCCTTGAAACTTCGCAGTTGATTTGGATGGATTATTCAGAACCTGAATAAGAGAAGCTTTCTTGGGAATGTTAAGCTCGCGTAATCATACTCAGGGCATATTATTATCCAATACGCATATCGATTACGCAGTCAACAAGCTGTGCGCTGTGAATCGCTTGTGTGAGCTCACTACCTCTGATATATGTATAACTAATACATGAGTCCACATACCGAATTGACAGTGTGTCACGCTCATACGGCTCCTTGTTTAAACACACCGTGTGTTCAACCATATAATTGGGCTAGGAGCCTAGGAGCCAACAGACAAGTGGTGCATGGAAATGGTAGCGCTGACACCTGTCGACACTAGGATTATTGCCATTAGGCACAGAACTGTTCCAGTTCATTCCCTCGTAATATCAGTAACTGTGCTGTCAGATTGTGGCAATCGCGTGACCGGAAATTGATTGATGGGGAAAAGAAAAGGCAAAACCACAACTGCAGACCTAATAGGGCAGTAGTTGTTACTAATAAGCAAATTAGTGAGCCATGATTGTAGCTTTACTACCCACTGTCGAGTGATTGGTTACTCAGCAGAGAAGAGACGAAGATGACGCATGGTGGTCGTGTTGGTCCGCGACGCCATCGTTTTCATCGACGGACGGATAGGATCCCCAAGGCCAGAAACCCACCGCCACATCATCACGTGCGAGTAAAAGTAAATAATTTCTAGGACGACAAAACTCTGACTAACACGATGGCCAGAAATTGCCGGCATCCTTTTCCTACGGCCTCCCGTTTGTTTCTCTCGCTCGCTCTCCCGTCGACTCTAATGTGGTTTGGAGTTGGAAACGGGATTATTATTATTACAAGAAAAAAAATGGAAGCTTTTCTTCCTCTTCGAGGAGGAGCCAGGAGAGGAAACACAGTAGTACTAGTAGGAGCTTTTAAAGAAAACGAAACAATGGTGGAGGGGAGGGGACGAACGCAACGGAGGAGGGAGTCAGGGAGGACGCACCGATGCCCGGATCCGTGTCGATGATGAGCTTGTCGTGGCGGATCTGCTGGCCGTCCTGCTCCATCGCAAGCCCGGCCGGCGCCTCCGCTCAAGAACAGCGCACTGGGACTGGGAGTGGGACTGGAACGAACGAGAATTGCCGCGCAGCAGGAAGGCCCCCCAATCTGAATCTGAATCCTGAGAAGCCGCCGAGGAAAGGGAAGAAGAGGAGATAGCAGGTGGGGGCTAGGACGCAACCTCTCTATCACCCTCCCTTTCTAGGGGTGTTTAGTTACCATCAAATTCCAAATTTTAACACTATGTAAAAAGAAGATTTTCTATCACATCAAACTTGCGGTACGTGTATGAAGTACTAAATATTGACGAAATCAAAAACTAATTGCACAGTTTGATTGTACTTTACGAGACGAACATTTTAAACCTAATTAGTCAACGATTGGATAAGTATTACCAAATAAAAACAAAATTCTACTGTGGATTTCGTCGGCGCTGTTTCGGCCAAACTAAAAGAGGCCCTAGTGCTTTCTTGTCTCGCGGATTCTGCCTTTTGGCTTTGCTTTTTCCAACTCGTCGGGGCTGCCTTTTGGCCTTCTCCTCTTGTGTGTCACAGAGGCTTCGCAGATACGTCGTTGTTTCGAGTTGCCACCGGCTAATAAAATTTTAATATTTTTTTTTTGTCTGGATGATATGTTAAGAGGACACGAGGTTTATACTGATTGGGGTAGAATATTTCTACGTCTAGTTCGTTGTTGCTACTTGTGTTACTAGCACTAAAAGTGCGTAGCAGGGGTTATAAACGGTCAAGAAAGGGACATGTCCCAAGTCTCTGGTGAGAGGAACGAACGGGTGCCGAGGGCTCGGTCGCTTCTCGACCGTGTGCTTTGTATTCTAATCGGTTCGGGGTTCGAGTCCAAATCGGTGTGATGTGTTTCGATTCGAGTGTCCTGTGGTGTGTTGCGATGAGTTCCGATATGTCTTGTGGGATGTCCTGCTTTCCCTTTTATAGGCTAAGGAAAAGCACGGGTTACTGTGGAGAAAGAGAAGAGAACGAGAGGAATAAGTCATTCAGGATCGCCGGGTCCTTCTCCTCTATGCGGGTCCCGCCAACCCTGTAGATGTCAACAGGGACAGCTTCTCGTCCTGGCCCTGTCCGTCACTGGCGCCATGTGCAGGCGTCGTCTGCCGGTCATGGCGCTCCACTACGTCCTGGCGGACGTCATGGTGAACTGACGCGCACGTCAGTGTTCGTACGGGAGTTAGGCAAAACAGCACCGGTACGCCCGACGCTGTTCCTGACGTGAACCCCCAGGTATGGCCCGTCGTGGGTCGCGGGCTACATCGAGATGTGCCAGTCTCTTCCCTGGCATCAGAGCTTTGATCCAGGCCCATACGCTTGGACCTGGAGTGGTTGGTGGCGGTATGGGACTCCGTCGGGCAAGGCGGGGCCCGCGGCCTCGGTGTCGGGCGAGGCGGAGCCAACCCTCAGGGGTCGGTTGGAGCTGTAGTCGCGCTCTCGACTGCTCGGACGAATCAATGTTGATGGTTATTAGCTCCTCTTTGGGCACCCTAATATTGGTCCTCGACAGTAGCCCCGAGCCTACGGAGGAGTAGAATACTCCTTCGAAGGCTTTTCCGAACGGGAGGACTCTGAAGGCCTTAGCCTTCCTTTGTCACCCACAATGTGACCTGGGGATGGTGATTCCCTTTCCTCGAGACCCCTCCCATAGCAGGGGCCTAGTCGAGGATCGGTTCGTCTTTGCAATTGTCTTCCTTCAAATGTTTTTTTCTGATAAAAACGGAGAGGCTGAGCCGTGCCATGATTTTTCTCTAAGGACGAATCATGGCATCCGGTGAGCTGTTTAATGGGCTAGTCTGAGTGGGGTCTCGGCATCCCGTTCGTGGGGATTTGGCTTGGGTCGGTTTGTTGATCGATTCCAGATTCTTGGCGGTCGATCCATATAGTTCACGGGTCTGTTTGACCGATCCCGAGGGCTATGCGCCTTTCTTTGAGGAAAAACCATGGATTGTAACCGACCGAGACTCGAACGTGAGCCGGGATGCCCGCGACGCTCGTGTGCCTGGATTCTGGCCGCTAGCGAGCCCATCCCTTTCCACCTCTCACTCTAGAGGTGCCTGGAGCTGTTGTCGAACCCGTCGATGGGCCGACCTGTGGACTCCTCGGCCCACTCAGGTCGTAGAGACGCTTTTATATCCGTATTTCTCTTACCCGCGATGAGTCATGGCCCATCCGGAGAGGTGAAACGTCCATCGAGTTTTCTGAGGGAACGGATAGAGATTGCGTGCGCATGTCCCACGATGGGACGTTGTGGCAGATCATGGCAGGCGCAGAGATCTAGGCGGACGGTTAGTTTCCTCACATTCGTCATCCCTATAAAACCAAAGGGTTTGCCCCTAGGGTTTCATACCTTGCATCCTTGCCTCCGCAGCCACTACCGCCACCGCCAATTGCTTAGGTTTCCTGCCTCCGCCTCCACGTCGCCGTCGAGCCCGCATTTGTCCGCCCCCACCTCCAATGGATCTGTGGTGACGCTCCGACATCACCTTCCAGCCATGGAATGCCTCATCCATCGTGGTCTTCTCCACGCGTGGACCTCGGTCGAGGAGTGGCTGCTGCCCGGCGAGGAGGATCTGCCGTCGCCGCCCAATGGCTATGTGGTGTCGTTCGCCCACTTCCATGAGCATGGGTTCGCGACCCCCGCCCACAAATTTCTTCGGGGGCTATTGCACTATTATAAGATCGAGCTACAGCATCTCAACCCCAATGGGATCCAGCACATGGTGGCGTTTGTCGCCCTATGCGAGGGGTTCCTGGGGATCAGCCCCCACTTCGACCTATGGTGAGCTCTAGAACAATTGGGTCAGTGAGTACCCCCCATGCGGCTCTCTACGTCCAACAAGGGGTGTCACTCGCAGTGGTTCTACCTCAAGAACGACGCCGCCGCCCCTCTGCCGGAGTTCACCGGACGCCTGATCGAAGAGGCCCCGGAATCATAGAGGAAGTGGGGCGTTCTGAAGAAGGACAAGAACAAGATCTGGGACCACATCGCCGCCATCCACATCCTAAAGGAGAGTGGCCTGAAGAGGTCGGGTGTCATCGGAGCCTACCACGCAAGGAGGGTGGCACCGTTGATGATGCGCGTGCTCCCGCTATACGCTATGGCGCCCGAGGCGTCGTTCGACGGAACGGTGCTTGCCGACAGAGCGCTCCCCCACTCGGAGGTCACGCAACGCATTAAGGAGGCGGTGGAGCCTTCGTGGGATGATGCTAATGCCCCCCTCAATTTCGTCTACCCGGTGCCCGGGACATCCTCTGATACGGCTAGAACCAGGCCATGTCGTCTTCGTAAGTTTCCCCTCCTCATACCTCCTCTTCAATTGATTTCCCAACCTCTTGATACTAACTTTGAGAGGGACGGGACTAGCTGAGGGACCTCATCTTCATGGATCACCCGGCATCGTTGTCGAGGGATTCGTCTATGAATTGCGCCGAGGGCGAGCAGCTGAGGAAGGTGAAGGAGGACAAGAGGAAGAAGAAGCAGCGGAAGCTACAGGCACGGGAGCGAGGGGAGGACACCAACAATGATGATGATGATGATGGAGACGACAATGGGGTAGTCGACAACATCGAGTGGGATGACCTGGAGAACGAGGATGTGCTGATAGGTATCGGTTCGTCCTTGCAGGAGTCAGGACCCTTCCTGTTCCACGGAGGAGAGGGCACGTCCGGGGAGCCGGTGGAGATGGGCTATACCATCGGCCTGCCCCAGGGGCCAACAGGGGTGGGCAGCTCTACCACTGCACATGAGGTGCCAGCGGAGGCGGGCAGCTCCGCCATCGCGCCCCAAGATCCAAGGGGAGTGAACCCTTCTGCCCAGGAGTAGGGGGAGGGCTCAAAATGGCCTCGCCCCGATGAGGCGGAGTAGAGGTCAGGGGGTTCGCCCCCTAAACGTATCTACCACCCAACGACACTGAGGTGAGTCATCAGCTTCTCTATTTTTTCTTGTTTTGGTTGGATTTTATTGTGACTTATGCTTTTCGTCTCTTGTAGCGTCGGGAGGCAGTGTAATCCTTTGGCGCTGGCGCCAAAGAAGAGCGTCGCCCTTCAAGCGAGGTGGCAGCCGTCAGCTAGCGTTGCGCCCATTTCAGCCAAGAGCGGTGTTAGTGTGACTGCGTCATCGGCCGGTCAGACGTCGCCCACGGTGGCATCCATGCCTTCGGCGGGACGAGCGAATGCGAGGGCTCTAGGGACGCCTTCGGAGGTCGCGGAACAGCCAGCGATGGTGGCGATACCGCTGCCGATAGTGCTCGTTGTGCTGACCACGCTCATAGTGCCGACCGTGGTGAGCTCGACGCAGCCGGTCAGGACCCCACCGACACAGGCGGAAGTGGCGGCGGCTAGGACAGGCGGGTCACAGCTGGGTGCTGTCGTGGTGGCGCCTGAGGAACCAGTCGTGACCCGCGCCATTGGTGGCCTAGGTGACGGCATCTGGCATGGGCTGAACAAAGGGGGTGCGGCCGAGGGGTCCCCAAAGGTCATGGTGTTGGGAGAGGAGTTAGCGTCCGTACCGCTGACCCCTTCCATCGTCGAAAGGAGTGTCCCGGCGGGGACGTCACGACGAGGAGGGTCGACAGCGATTGGGACCGGTAGGGAGCCATCCCGCCCTGATGTCGGTGGGTAGCGACTTGCCTATGTGGGGCGAGCCCTTGCTCCGGTGGGCGAGTTCAAAGGATCCGACGTCGATGCTCTTCACTCTCGACGCCACCGTAGAGAGCATGGAGCGGGAGAGCCTCGACGTGAGGATCGCGTCCGTGCTTGAGGCCCTGGACCACGCTCGAGGTGCCTTGTGTGATGTTGTCGTTCCCTCTGATCTGGTATTCGCTTAACCCTACTTCTCGCCCTTTTCTTTTTCTGTATATTCTTTGTATTCTGACCATTATCTCCTTTCAGTCCCTTATCGCTCGCAGCCGGGGGAAATCTCGGTTCCTTTATGAGTAGAAGGAAACCTAGGACCGCCTCATCGAGGATGCGTGGCTGCACGGGGA